GCCAGGCAGTCTGAAGACTCGCTCCCTATCCACTCTCTAAACTCTAGAGCAAACCAGCCAGACAGCCCCTCACAGAATATATTCCGATTTTAAAACAGACTTTGGAGCCACATTTTAAACACACACATTTTATAACTAAAGAGAGGTCACAGTACACAAACCATAGAGGCCACAGAATCCAAAAATAAATAAATTTTACATTTTAATATTACAGTCTAATTTTCACATTTAATTTTAATTTAATATTACAGTCTACTTTTCACATTTTAAATCCACACTGCAAGACCCATCAGAGCACAGAAACAACCCCCAACCTAGCCCTACCCCCCACCAAGCTGCAAAAAACCCTGTATAGTACAGTAAATACAGTGTACTCACGCAGAACAGGCAGTCTCTCTGTTTTAAAAAAAGTCAAAAATCCAAAAATCTAAAATTTAAAAAGGCAAAAAATACAGTCCGTACAGTACAGTACCAGGCAGTACCAGGCAGTCTGAAGACTGTCTCCCTATCCACTCTCTAACCACTGGGACAAGCGAGGTGGCAGACAAGCAAAAAGGCTTCCCTATGGGCGATTTTTGCAAAAAGACGACGATTTGTCCCCATTGGAATGCATTAAACGGATTTCAGTGCGTTCCAATGGGGAATTGCTTTTCGTAAGACGATGTTTTCACAAGACAGCATTTTCAATAGAACGGATTAACATTGTCTTGCGGAGCACCACTGTGGATAGAATAGTGGACTGATACTTAGTTATCTGTATGGCTGCAGAAGAGACAGAATAAATGATGGATCAAGACTATCAGCTACATAATCAATAATTAGAATAACAATATATCTGTCTGAATTTGATTTTTCCCTTTTGCTCACTGTCTATATTTCTTTATGATATGTGGAACTATTTCTAGAAGAGAATGTATAGAATTACTATGAAAAATACTGATTTGTAATGTATCCATTCAAATCCACCCCTTCCAAGGTTACCCCTATCCCAGCTGCCGCCTACCTTACCCTACCTTTATGAAGAAATTTTTTAAAAAATAATTAAAAATAATAATAAAAAAGAGATAGTTCAGAGATATACCAGTGCTACATCAGCATTGTGGCTACTGTATCCTGTACATGTTCATCTCTAAAAGTGGGGACAGAACACTCAGGAATCCTCAAGTGGTGTAGAAACCATGTCCAGAAATTAAGGGTCAAGCTGGGGACAGTACAGAACCATGGTGACAATGATCTCATAGTAATGGGGACATACCTCATGACACCATCATACATCATTATGCACAGAGTGATGTCAAGGTAGCCTCACAAATTCATAGAGAGCAACAAATCTGCTCCCATGAGTTCCCAAGGAAGTTATAATTTGGGAGCAGAAGACACAAAGAGAAGGAAGATGAAACCATATAGTACAGCATTGGTATAGCTCCTTGGTCAGAAGGGTGGCAGAAGGCATAGGGAGTTCTTCCAGGACAAGGTTCAAGGGAAGAAACAACTGTTTCCCCAGGGAAACAGGCAGAGGCTGGGAGACACCATGAGGGAACAAATTAACACACTCAGCAGCTCGCAGAAACATGGGAGATAACAGACTCAGTAGCTGTACACACTATGGTACATTTGTCTTCTACCCCAGAGCCAATCCTACACAGATGCTGCAGGTGGAATCCTAGCCAAGTGAAACAATTCAGATCTCAAATGCAGGGAGATCATGTGTCTGAATACAGGATAAGTCCCATACTAGGAAAGGACAGAAGTCTCTCCCTAGGGAGGCAGGACTCAGCCAAACAGGAGAAACTCTTCATGGACTGACTCGTGCATAGGCTAGCCAGTCCTTTGGTCACTTTCCCTGTAGTTGTAGACATGGCCAGTCTTCCCCAGCTATTTTCCTGAGTAGCCATGCTGGCTAACAGTCCAGCAGACCTCACTCAAGTATTCCCAAGTACCTGACTAAAGACAGAGATTGGGTCTGAACCCCAGGGCACAGATCCTCACTTTTGAAGCCCCGTTTATTTGTTCCATACAACAAAAAAGGCAAGCCAGTTATGTTTCCAATTAGGATTACACCCCAGCTCTTACACATGGCTCATTCTTGATTCTGGAAATCAAGACGTGCACTGACACTGGAGTAATCGGATTAGAATTGTGCAAGCGAACATTCCATATGATCAGAACTTGGAATGTTAGGTTTGAAAATTGGTTAGTTAAAGTTAAACGTTAGTGTAACCACCTGCTGAGGTTTCCAAGTTGATTTAGGCTCCACCATTGCATGTTCTGGCATTCCCATTCCTCCTCAAAGGATGGCTTCTTTGGGGTCTCAGCTCAGTGCAGTTTCTCTGCCTTCATGAGAGGAATGAGCAGCTGCACCCATTCCCCAGTCCAAGGGTCCTTCTGCTGACCCAGTTCCCAGCTGTTGTGGGGGGTCTGTTTTGGAGGCGTTCACTGGCCCCAACTCACATGCCGCTTGTCCGGCTCCTCCTTCACCTCCTGCCAGCACTCCTCCTCCCTCCAGAACCTTTGCTGTCTAATATTCACTTTCCTCCAGACAGTGCCCCCTCCTTATCCACTTCTCCCTGGTCTACTGGATAGCTACAGCTTGGAAAATCCTCTGGAAGGGTGGAGAGGCAGCACAGCTCACAGGTGGAGAGGCAGAGCTGGAGAGGCCCCCTTTGATATCCTCACAGTTAGAGTTTAGGAAATCAATTTATTGTCATTAATGTTTAAAATTGAAAAAGTTTAGCTCATTAAATTAACACTGTTAATATTAGCCTTGTGTGATCTCTGTATAGGGCTACATCAGTCTATGTTGCCACTCCTGAAAAAAGGGGGGCTGTGCCTCTCTCTTAAAACTCAGTTTATACCAGTAAACACCATTTAATAAAGCCATGATTTTTCAAAGCATCTGGAAGTTATAGTCATAGATGATCAGGAACTGAAACAATGGGAACCATCGCTGTACAAAGAGTCAATTGACCACTTTCAGTTACACTTCCTTAGCTTAAAACTATATTTTTCAAAAATTGACAGAAAGTATAAATCTGGTTAGAAGCTGGCTCATAGTGTTACTATGTCATCATAACTGGCTGCTGATATAATAGCAAAAAAATTCCTGTTGGCTGCTTATCTGCTCAGTGGATCTGGCCAACAACTAAACAAAAATATTGGCTTCAGTCTCCTAAGGGTAATACAGTATTTGAAAAGTAATATTATGTGGGGTGAAGCCCCAAGCTAACAGCCTCAGTCTAAGGTGAAATTCGAATGATCTGCATGATTCCAGTCTTACAAATTTTCTCTAGACCAGTTAAGAAGGCCCAACTCATCACAGAAGCTGTGCAGAACTAGTTGAACTGACCATCTCAGGGCTGCCTGCAAATTTGCCTGTTTGAATGAAAAAGAACGTGAGATGATATAATGAATATGAATAAGATATAAATAAAAACAAACCTCCTAGTAAACCGGAACCATGCACCATCTGAACTTTTTAAAAAATGAACCGCAAACCAGTTCATTTTTTGTTAAAGTTTATTTTTTAAAAATAAAATTAAATGCCTTACCCCCTTCCCACTGCCCCCATTGCCTCCCTACCTTTTGCTGCCACCATCACTACCACCACCTTGAGAGGCAGCCCAGCTGGCTCCCGCTGTCTGGGCTGCCTCTCAAAAAAAATAAAAAAAATAAAAACCTGGGCTGCAGGAGCTTGTCTTCATGCTGCTCAAGATAGTGGCGGTGAGAGAATAAGTGATGTCAACAAAAGGTAGGGAGCAACGGGACAGTGGGAAAGGTGGGCAGGCTGTGGATGTGGGGAGAATGAACCAGGACGTTCAAGAAAACATAGACAAAAATGTCATGATCCAGCTCATTCTGAGTTCTTCATTTTGCACAAACCCAAACTGACCCGAACCAACGAAGCAGCAATTTTCCATGAACTTCCTGGTTTGTTTTTTGGTTTGTGCCCATCTCGAACCACAACACAAACATTGTATATGCTTACATCTGTCTCACTCTTTCTTACAGGGGTGTCTCCACATAAAACATTTATTTTTCCTGTTCATCTCATGAAAATCAATTTTATACAAAACCAGGCAGATTTGGTGCAAATAAGGGTACTTTTATGCAAAACTAGATAGCTCCACAGTTTAGGTATCTGGCTGCGGAGCCAGAGGTTGGGAGTTTGATTCCCCACTCTGCCTCCTAGGAGAAGAGCCAGCCTGTGTGGCCTTGGGCAAGCCACACAGTCCCAGGGCCTCCTCAGAAGAAGAGAATGGTAAACCACTTCTGGGTACTCTCTGCCTGGAAAACCCTGAAAAGGGTCATCGTAGGTCAGAAGTGACTTGAGCGCCTGTTGCTGCTGCTGCTGCTGCTGTTGTGCAAACCACCATTCTCGCCCAATGCAAGGACCATGTTGAGAGCACCAAGATTTATTTTATTTTAATTTATTTATTTTTTGCCATCTTCACCAGCCAGAAGAAGGCTGTCACAGTTCTTCACCATATCCTGTGAGGATGAGGCAGCTGAAGATCTTACATCCCTACTCAAACATTACTCTGTATTTTAGAGGAGATAACTGTGTCAGTCTGTGCTAGCATATGAGGCAAAACCAAAAGAAAAATAAAAAATAAGAAGAAAAGCATGTTGTGGCACTTTAAAGACTAACTGCTGTATTTTAATGTGAGCTTTCATGCATAAGTCTGCTTCCATCTTATGTATGAGTAAGTGGACTTGTCCACAAAAGCTCACATTAAAATAGAGCAGTTACGGTAGTCTTAAGTTGCTAGACATTCTTGCAGTCCTTATTTTGTATTTTGTATTTTCTTTTTGTCTGCATTTGTAATTCTAAAACATCTTTGTGACATTTTCTTGAGAGTGTCTTTATTTTGTATTTTTATTTTTTTTGTCTGCATTTGTAATTGTAAAACATCTTTGTGACATTTTCTTGAGAGAAATTTAGATCTTTCGCATTTCTGTTTTCTTGGACTACTATACTATTGTGAGTGGCCCCCACTGCTCCCTCCGAGGCAATAAGTTGTGGTAGAATTAGGACTTTATTGGCCACCAAGAAAGGTGCAAAGAGGATGTATAACACAAGTTCTCGCAGAGTCGGCCCCTCCAGGGTGTGGAGGTGCTGGAGTTCCTTGCAGCACCAAGCCCTTCTGGGCAATAGCAAAATCTACTCCAGGGCCACCCTCTGGAGGTTGGCTGCCCTTCCGATCCATAGGCCCCTCTGGCTTGCAGAGGGAAGAAACAGAAATGAATGTCTCAGCAGGCTCAGGCTCCTTCAAACTCTCAGTTCCACTGTTGTCTGGGCTCCTTCCTGGAACCTGTGGCCTTAGTCCCGGCAACGGAGTCATCCCCTAGCCAGCCACAAATTACTTAACTCCCTGGTCAGTTAAGTAGAGATGTCCACATAGAGAAAACTGCTCAATTAGGACAGTCAGGAGCTCCTCCTGGCTTCCCTCCAGTTTGGGGAGTCAGCTTGAGGAAGCAACTGGGGAAGGATGGGAGCCAAGGCCACGTTCTCTCCTTCCCAGCCCCCTTGTGTACTTTCTCAGGGTTAGCATGCCACATTATCAGCCTTGCCTCACTACCATTAACTCTAATACCAAGGAATCAAATGGTAAGAATTTGATTCACTTGCCTGTTCTCGTTTATACTTTCTGTAGAGATTGGTCTTAAGTGTTCATGACACTCTGTGTTCTTAAGCTTTCATGACAGAGTGCCAAAAGAGGAAGGAGATTAGGGAAAGGATGTCAAGGGGGTGGCAGAAAGAATGAAGAGTTCATTTCGAGATGCTTATTCCTTTACCAAGTTTACGTATTTCCTTTCTGTGAAAATATTTTAGGGTGTTTATTTTCTTTTTTTTAAAATCTCTTACTTCCTTCCTTATTTGGAAGGGGAAAATAATTGGTTCTGCCAGTAACTGAGAAAAGCAGTGACTTTGTCTCTAACATGTCAAATCTTGTAAGTAACAACATTGTTTTACTTAGAAAAAAAGCAAACAATTTTCCTGAAACTGATTGTGACTGACTTTCGTCTGGCACGATTGAACTTTGATAGTTCCTAAAAGGTAAAGGTAAAGGTTCCCCTTGATAATTTTTGTCCAGTTGTGTTCGACTCTAGGGGGCGGTGCTCATCCCCATTTCCAAGCCATAGAGCCAGCGTTTTTGTCCGAAGACAATCTTCCGTGGTCACATGGCCAGTGTGACTTAGACACGGGGCGCCATTACCTTCCCACCGAGGTGGTCCTATTTATCTACTTGCATTTGCATGCTTTCGAACCGCTAGGTTGGCGGCAGCTGGGAAAAGCAATGGGCGCTCACTCCGTTGCGTGGATTCGATCTTACGACTGCTGGTCTTCTGACCCTGCAGCAGAGGCTTCGGCGGCTTAGCCCGCAGCACCACCATGTCCCTTATGATAGTTCCTAGCAGGGTGACAAATGCATTTCTTTAACCAGCACTCAGAACAAGGATAATAGTTGCTTCAAAGTCTGATTTTATGCATATGCTTCACCCCAATCCGTGATCACTAGCTGCTTTTCACAGATCACTACTGAGTTATGTTCTGGTACTGCCTCTTCCTGGCAGTTACTCCTTATAATAGACAAAGAGGCTGAAAAGTCCAGAAATATTTTCAGCTTAGCTTCACACACATGGAAAAGATAACAACGTTTGTACGCCAGCCTTTGCTAGGGGACTGTCTACATACATTTTCCATACCATACCTGAGGCATACAGTAGACTAGCCTTCCTCAGCCTAATACCCTCAAGATGTTTTTGCTTATGACCTCTAGGAACCCCAGGCAGCATAAGCTATGGTTAGGGGGAATGAATTAGTTGTTCATTATTTTTATTAGTTTTTATATTTATATAAGCATTTATGTACATTTCAGTGTGCTTCATGGCCTTAATGGATACATGATCTTTGGTCTCCCAGTAGCCAGTCCAGCACTTTAGCCTCGGGAGTTGTAGATCAAAACATCTGGAGGCATCAGGTTGGGGAAGACTGCAATAGGCTCATATTTGTAGATTGCTAAGTGTTGAACAATACAAACCCTGCTGTGTTTTCACTACATACAGAAGTTTGTTCACTTCTCTTCAGTGGTTCAATAAATGAACCTAATTGAGCAACACTTTAGGTTCCATGGTGGTGACAGCAGCAACTACATATGGTTCCTAAGCCATTGAGCTATCCAGCAGTTCTAACTAGGATAAAAGTATACTAAACTTGGGAGTGTTTACAAATGTACTGTGAAATGTCTATAATGTGGAACAAATATGTTGTAGTCCAGCAATGCTCAGCATTTTTATCTAGAGCTTTGTTTATTTATTTCCAGGAGCTGTTGAGGCCTGAAGCTCTTGGACGCATAATCATATCACCAGCCATTTCTGGACAAGATTTTATCCAGTCTGAAGGGACAATAGTCTTTGAACCTGGGCAAAGAATTGGTGTTCTGGATATAACTCTCACTCCCAAGCCTGTGTCTCTGAATCCATTTCCTAAACGTTTCCAGGTTGTGTTACTCAATCCTACTGGAGGTGCCAGAGTGGATGACATCTATGGCACTGCTAATATCACCATTGTATCTGATTCCAACTCCCAGGCAATCTGGGGTCTGGCTGATCAATTGTACCAACCACTTGATGACACCATTTTGAATAAGGTGCTCCAGTATTTAAACATTAAAGTAGTGACAGAAAGTACAGAAGAACAACTTGCTGCCGTGATGCACATCATAAATAAGGTACCTATCTAGATCTCTTTTGTGCAGTGACTAAGGTTCCCCTGGAATTAGAGAAGATGTGGCCCCTTTTGTAGGAGCTTGAACTGGTGAGAATGATAAATAGTAGCCATGACTGCCTGTCAGAAATGTTGGTTTGATTCTAAAACCAGGACTGACAATCTTTAGTAATGAAACATACCAGCGTATTTACTTGCCATCTTCCTTCTTAACAGAAGGTCACTGATTCAAACACCCAACTTAGGTGGTGATTCAGAATCGACAGGTGGTATATGTGATATAGTTCAACAAAGTGTTGAACTGGCAAACTGAGAGTATCAGGCAGAACCCCAAAATAAGCATCTTTATGTCCCACCAGACAGTCCTGTTTATCAAAAAGTAAAATATAAAGGAAATGGCTCCAGTACAGACTAAGAATTAGGAGACAAATATGTAATTTGAATGAGAGAGATTTCTGGAAGCTATGTTCTTCTGTGACCTTTACACCTGTGCCAACAATTAAAGAAACTGTCCATTTTGCTCCTGATTAAAAGGTGGGCCTTGTGATTCACAGCCATAGGCATAATTGCCAGAGTCTTCATCCCCAGAACATGTCAGTATCAATATATGTATCAGTACCAGTATACCATTCAAAACAATACATCCAGAGACAACCCAACTTGCTTGGTGATTGAGGAGGAAAATCCAAGTTATAAATAAATATAAGGACATACAGATTCAATAGGGGTTATTTCTATGTTGTATAGCACACCCCTAATACTTTCAGTATGATATATAAATGGCCTGATTGCCACTTGCATACACAAAGTAATTTTATTTTTGCTCCCTTATTTTACTTCCCAAGGTAATATCGGAAAGCGAAAAGCAGCCATTGACTGATAAAAACCGAAGCCTTTTGTATGAGATCCTCTGTGCGCTTATCAATCCAAAACGCAAAGATACTCGAGGCTATAGCTTCCTTGCAGATATTACTGAGAAATTTGCCTTTTCTCTGCCTGTTGGTGAAATGTGTGGATCACAGGGTGAAAGGTAAAAGTTCTTTCCATAGCATGTGCCAAAAATATATTCTGACATGAGAGTGAACACTGAAGTCCAGTTAGAGCTCTGAGTACACATTTCAGCTCTGTAGAACCACAGCTCTTCATGTGTGAAACAAATAGAACAAATGTTTTGAAACATCCATAGTGTATGGTTGGTTGGTTGATTGATTGATTGATTGATTGACTGACTGACTGATTGACATGCCACCTTTCTCCCAAAGGATCCAGAGCAGCTTACAGTATTTAAAGAAACAAGGTTAAATGCTAAATAATAAATTATTACAATATTTAAAAAGCATTAAACAGATATATTAAAACTTATAATGGGAGCAATATTAAAAACAATAAAACAAGGTCATCCCTTAAAAACAATTCCCTTGGGCAATCAGTCATTTAAAGGAAAGCCTGCCTAAAGATAAAAGTCTTCACCTGCTTGTAGAAGGACAGCAAAGGTGGGGTCAGCCTGGCCTCCCATGGGAAGGGGTTCCAGAGTCTGGGAGCAGCAACAAAGAAGGCCGTCTCCTGTGTCCACTGTGAGAGTGGTGGAACTGAGAGAAAGGCCATTCTTGATGATCTTAATACACGGGCAGGCTCATAAGGGGAGATGCAGTCCTTGAGTTAGCTTGGACCCAAGCTGTTTAGGGCTTTATAGGTTATTATGCACTTGAGAAGATAATTTTATTTGAATGGATGGAGATGAAGTCAACAAAAATGAATTTTAGATGTCCCGTTTGTGTTACTTCTCAAGAGTACTTCACCAATGCCTGTAGACCTAATAGGAATTGTTAATTTGTAGTAATGTCACATATTACTCATATCATATTGCAAACAATACTGGCCACTAAAGGTGTTAAACCAAGCATGAGTACCCGTTGTACTTGTTTTCTTTTACAGGTAGTGAGTGACTTTTTCCATTTCTTGAGCTTGTTATTCCTCTTCTGTTTTAACAGAGGCAAAACCATCCTTGATCATTGCCCTTATATTGTAATCATGGCACATCACTGGTATCCACAGCAAATCAATGGGCACCGATTTGATGGAAAGGATGGTGATTTCATCAGAGTTCCTGAACATTTGTTAGACACTTCTGCCTCAGCAAATTCTAAAGAGAACCACTGTAGGTTCATCCAAGTCACTGAGTATAGTAGCCAGCAGTGGTTTACAACAGGTGATAAAGGAACTGCCCTTAACAATAAGGTAGGCTTTTAAAATTATTTATGAGACCAGCATCTTGTCTTTAGGGAGGTTAAACTACATTGCCTGGCGCTTGCTGGCAGCCTCCTGTTCAAGCACACGTCAGGCGTACACATTCGTTTTACTGCTGCCAGAGATTATGGTACTTTCTTCTCCTAAGCTTAGGTGTGCTATGTTGGATTTCTAAAAGATGCTTAATGTAATAAACTTCTGGAACACTAGCCATATTAAGCTACAGTCCAGTGGACACATAGATTACTGTTATACCTTTTTAGTGCTCTAGTGTAATTTTGCTCGAGCGCTGACCTTTGAAAGCAACAACAAACAAATGGTTTGAAGACAAGGGGTACTTGGTTGAGGGGAAATGACATCTTCCAAGTGCCCCCTTTTCTTCAACTTCACTGAACTCTCACAAGCCAATAGTTCACAGTATCTGATGCATTCATTGTATGCATTTGCCTGTGATGGACAGGTTTGTGTAATAAATACTGTAGCTAAGAGCTCTGTCACTATGATGCAACTTGAATGTTGCTGAGCCTGTTTCGTGCACTGAGGTCTTACAAATTTTTCCACACTCATTTTTCCTCCTCTACTCCATTGCCCTCTGCTAACCTCTAATGCCATTGGTTAATCATTTGCGATGTCACAGTGAGCCCATTTTACTCATGAAAGGGAGTCTGTTGCCTGGCCCTGGGTTTGTAAGCTACTTTGTAATATCAAAAAGTAGGCTGATATAAGCTTCAGATGTTGTGGGCCCACAGTTATCCATTGACTTAGCTGGTCAAATATTAGATCCTGACTGCTGTATCACAGACACTTTGGTAAGCCTTGGACCGGGCATTTGAAGGATAAGGGTAGTGGGAGAAACCTAATTTTAAATGTACTGCAGCGAGTCCTGGACCCTTTGTGCCCGGCAGGAGAGGAAGCTGAACACCTTCCATATGCGTTGCCTACGACGGATTTTTGGTATCACCTGGCAGGACAGAGTTCCAAATAGAGTAGTCCTAGAACGAGCTGGAATTTTCAGCATGCATACATTACTGAAACAGCGACGTCTACGCTGGCTTGGGCACGTTGTGAGAATGGCTGATGGTCGGATTCCAAAGGATCTCCTATATGGAGAATTAGTGCAGGGAAATCGCCCCAGAGGGAGACCACAGCTGCGATACAAGGATATCTGCAAGCGGGATCTGAAGGCCTTAGGAATAGACCTCAACAGATGGGAAACTCTGACATCTGATCGTTCAGCCTGGAGGCAGGCAGTGCATCACGGCCTCTCCCAATTTGAAGAGACCCTTGTCCAGCAGGCTGAGGCAAAGAGGAAGTCACAAAGGAAGCAAAACCAGGGAGCTGGACAGGGGACAGATTGGATTTGTCTCCAGTGTGGAAGGGATTGTCACTCTCGAATTGGCCTCCTCAGCCACACTAGACGCTGTTCCAAGTCCTCCATACAGAGCACGATACCATAGTCTTTCGAGACTGAAGGATGCCTACTACTACAGGAAAATCTGAGTGAAGGCATAGATGTAGAATAGTACTGTGTACAGTATGTGAAAATCAAATGGAATATTCTCAAAATGTTTATTGGAAGAGGTTAGGCAACATTTAGTACTCATGACAGTTAAAAGAAATGCATTTGTATCAAAATCTCAAGCATGTTTTATTCAGAAGTACTGCCTTCTTCATAAGGATTTAATTTATAGAGGTATGTGCATAGGATTACAGCTTACTTTACAGCTTGTGAACAGGTGCACGTGCATGGACACACACACACATAAAAAAGTAGAGACTGAAAGTGTACCTTAGTGATGTGCACCCGTGGCAATTGAGTTTCCCTTTGTGAATTTGCCTTAGTTGTCGGTGCACACAATAGGAAAAATGCTCATTGATCTGCCATGATGTGCACCCGTGGCAATTGGGTTTCCCTTTGTGAATTTGCCTTAGTTGTCCTGACGGGTCAGCAGAAAGAGGGGAGGGAATTTACTAATCAGTGCTGGTTTACAATTTGTTAAGACAGCTTCTGATGTAGCTGTCTAGATTTCCATGAGACAGCAGGAACAAGTATAGCTACAGCACAAGATGCCAGCAAACCAGTGCTGATTGCAATTTCTAGTCTTCTAAGTGCTCTAGTGCAGCGGTCCCCAACCTTGGGCCTCCAGATGTTCTTGGATTACAGCTCCCAGAAGCCTTCACCATCACCTCTGCTGGCCAGGATTTCTGGGAGTTGAAGTCTAAGAACATCTGGAGGCCCAAGGTCGGGGGAAAAGTCCAGCTGATTCTGTTGAGCTGTATGTTGTGCAATCAGTGGAAAATACTACAAATCTAACCATGCCAAACCCTGAGCAGTTCCCCTACTATTTGCCAATGTAGTTGCCTCATTAGAAAGGAAAGGCCAGCATCTGTATGGAGGAGCCCACGCTTTGTATTATGGGGTCTGAGGGTCAATCACCAGTATCTGTACTTAGGGCGACAAACCTGAGAGAACCCACATTTTCAGACCTTGAGAAAAACTGCTGTCTAGTATGTTGCCTAATGCTCAATATACAAATTAAGACCATGTGAATGCTTTCAAAGGAAATAAATGTTTGTTCATTTCAGATTTTTTCGCTAAGTCTGAAGAGTCAGATTCCACTTTTACTAGAAGATGACAATGTGGTCACCTATCGGATTTATTCCACAGACAGCCAAATTGTTCCACATAAGTCTTTATGTCTTCTTTGGAATCAGGCTGCTGAAAGGTATATTTTCAAACTTATTATAGTTATATAAATTGTGCATAATGTATGTGAAACAGAGAGAGATTTCTATTTCCTTGACTTTAGCTAATCAGTTTCCTTTTAGGAGCCTCAATCTTTTTCATCTTACATCACTAATATTCACTGGGGAATTACCAAATGACCACACAAATTTTGTAGGTGTGGGGTAGGAATTGGAGTATAAAAATGTAATTATGTATGTCTGTAGCCAGACAGACGACTCCTATTGCTACGTATCAGTCAAAAAGAATACATTCTAAAAACTACATCATGCACAATAAAAATCAAAACACTGAAACCTGCAATGACAGAACTTTAAGACTGCATATGAATTGCTTTGGGATTGAAAAGAAAATATCCGTTCTTTCACTCTTATATTTTGCAGTAGAAGAACAATGTTCTACCTTTCTCAAAGGCTTTCTCTCCTGCTACCCATCTGCTACACCCAATGTCTGTTTATAAGAGCAAGATTCTGCAATTGAAGCTGGATGCACACACATATATGCCCATGTGCAGGCCTAATCTATGACAGATTTTAATTTTGGAAGAAAGGTGGTTTCAGTTCTAAATTGAATCACTAGTAATAAAGTATTTCTGGACTCTCCAACAACTGTGACCCTCCAGGTGTTTCTGGATTGCCTTTTTAAATCACCTTAAAGTCATAGCATATTATTTTAACAGGTGTAATGGCAGACATAACACTTATATCCCAAGTGCTGCAAAAATTGTTGTGAAGGACTAATTGCCACGAAGGCTAATTCCAGTTTTGGTGAGAAGACTGTGGCATATCAGGAAACAGCAAAAATTCATGGTATAGACAATGTCTTATAAACAGGCATTGGATGTAGCAGGTGGGTAAGAACAGAGAAAGCACAAAATATTCTGATAAGCTACAGAAGCTTATCATTTGCACGTTAGGTTTACTAGAAATATAGCTTGCTTCAATCTTGGTCTTTTCCCCTGTTCTACCACCACAGAAAAAGTACTTTCTTATTACAAAGTCAAAGTCTGTTCTTAGTAGATGAATCTCTGAGTTCAAAATACAGTGGTGCCTCGCTTAACGATGTTAATTGGTCCCATTAAAAACATCGTTATGTGAAAACATCGTTAAGCGAAACACCATTTCCCATAGGAATGCATTGAAAACCGGTTAATCCGTTCCAATAGGAGCCTATTCAATACATTTCAATGGTGAAAAAAAATCACCAAAAATTCAGAAAGATTCAGAAGCCAAATTACTTTAACGAAGGTTTTATTAGGTGCACTAATGATTCCAAGCATTTTAAACATTTTTAAACATTTTAGAATATTTTTAAAATAGCGAAAACAGGGCTGTCAAAAAAAACGTTAAGCGAAACAGGGGACCTAAAACTGTCATCGTTAAGTGAAGCAAGGTCCCAAACATCGTTATGCGAAAATCCCCCATAGGAAACATCGTTAGGTGAGGCGGCAAAATTTCCAGCAAAGGCCACCGTTATGCAAATTCATCGTTGAGCGAGGCACTTGTTAAGCGAGGCACCACTGTAGTTTGTTTCACTGAATGGCATAAGAGCTACTTTTTATCTGTGCCCTTCTTGAACAGCCCATATCCTGTATAATAATGGAAGACGTATATTTGGCAGTTTTAGTCCCATAGCTTCAAGACTATGGAACCCCGATATCTAATGTTTGGCATTTATATTAAGGCAACTCAGGGCATGCCCTGGAAGCAGGGGAAAGTATCTGGCATCTAAAACATATCAATTAATATGTATCTCTCGATTAGAAAAGTGCAGTATTATCTTCGGTCACCAAGTGGTAAACACCTCTAATTAGTGCACAGGTTTACTGTTGATACAGTTTGAAGCAAGGAGGTATAGTTTGAAGTATGGGATTCTAGGGCACTCCCCCTCTGGCATGAGGTGGGAAGGACTAGAGATGCTAGTAGATGTGCCTTTATTTTGGTGTTGCAGGCAGGATGTAGCCATCTTTAATGAAAATACAAATTTTTCTGAAGGCTTCTGTAAATCATCCTAAAGGCTAAACCAGCCCAATGTTAATCAGTTGAAAACAACCCCTTCTCTACTTCATGGGGTGATGGTTCAAACTTGGAACCTTTCTAGATGTGGGACAAGGCATGGCATGCCAATTCAGCTTACTAACATGAGCAGCCTAGATCAGTATGCCATATGCCTCCATATCCTGTGGTTCTTCTCTTACCCTATGCCTGGTCACATTGCTTTTATAGCAGTGGTAGTACAATGGTGGTTGCAAGCTTTTGGTCAACATGTGACATACCAGTGTGGACTGAGCTTATCTGCCTAAATTAATCTGCCAGACTTTAGACCTAGTGAGGAGAGCTGAGAGTAGAAGGATTTTCAGATGCTTCCTACTCTGGCTAAATTCCTTGAGATTATGAGCCAAATTAAAGAATTTATTTATTTATTTATTTGGTAGTACAATGGTGGTTGCAAGCTTTTGGTCAACATGTGACATACCAGTGTGGACTGAGCTTATCTGCCTAAATTAATCTGCCAGACTTTAGACCTAGTGAGGAGAGCTGAGAGTAGAAGGATTTTCAGATGCTTCCTACTCTGGCTAAATTCCTTGAGATTATGAGCCAAATTAAAGAATTTATTTATTTATTTATTTATTATTAGGTGGAATCTACTGAGTCTATCCTTTCGTCCACTTAATTTTGGCATTGGTATGGTTAAATTCTAAAATCTGTCTTGCCTATTCCCATAGCATATGTAATACATGCACCAGTCCTCATTTTGGTGAAGTTTGCGATGTGAGTTATCCCTTTGAGCATAATTGCTATGCTCATAATTCATGTGGCTCCCTTTTTTGCTCATGTTTTTCTTATGATTATTGATCTCCAGTCCAAAGACAAATGAATTAACATTATTGACCTTCGTTTCCCTTGCAGCTGGTTGTCTGACAGTCAGTTCTGTAAAGTGATGGCTGATTCCTCCGATTACGTGGAATGCTCTTGTTCACACATGTCTATTTATGCAGCCTATGCACAGACAGACAGCTTGTCTTCTTACAATGAAGCTTTTTTCTCCTCTGGTTTCATCTGTATTTCTGGTTAGTTGCTACGTCATTATTTCTGCATCAGTGGACCATGTATTGATCTGAAAACAAATAATAAGGTAGAACATGTTCTTACTGGAATGAATTACATACAGTGGTGCCTCACTTAACGGGTGCCCCATTTAACGATGAAATCGCATAGCGATTTTTTAACAGCTGATTGGCGGTTCCAAAATGGCCACCGGGTTAAAAAATGGCTGCCCGCTGCTTTCTGGGATGGATTCCTCGCTTACCGGGCAGCGAAAATGGCTGCCGTATGGAGGATTTTCGTTTAAAGGTGAGTCTGAAGCCCATAGGAACGCATTGAAGGGGTTTCAATGCATTCCTATGGGCTTTTTAATATCGCATAGCAAAGAAATCGCTTTGCAGTGATTTTTGCTGCACCGATTATTGTCGCTATGCAAGGCACCACTGTATCTTTGTATGAATAAGAAACATAGGCCAAGATCCAAAAACCTGCTTTAGGCATGCCCAGTGGAATTGTGGACTTCCTCCCTTTTTAAAGTATCAGACCTATGTGCTTTATCACAAATACCCTCATTTTTAGAAGAATTTTGTTTTACAGCAGGGAAGACTGAATCATATGTCAAAACTTCCTCTGGGGCAACAAAACCACTTGTGTATCTATTTGGATCCAGAACAAAATAAATCACAATTAAGAAAAACAAGTAATGAGACACATAGGCAAAAGCAAATAAAACAGATTTTATGCTCCCATTAACACTGAGCTAAAAGGGTAACAATGCATCCTGGATGAAATGTGTTGTTTCAGTTAACTAGAACTAGTGGCCACTTCATTTCACTTTAAGTGGGTAGGAAAGGATCCATTCCTGATTGTGCCAACTAAATCATGTCTTACCTGTTTATTTCTAGATATTTAGGGCTACCTATATATTAGTTGTAAACATGAGATTTTTAAGTGTATACTAGCAGAAAGTATACAGAAGAAAATGTATTGACTGAAATTAATAATTCTAGACACTAAATCTCATCTAGCCCAAAAGCTCATCATATATAATGTACTATATAATGATGGCTTTACCAATACTGTCACTGATTTTGCATGAATTCAGTAACTGAGAAGGTGCCTTGTGCTTCTCTAAGAATTTATAAACAATGTGATAATACACCAGAACTAGGAGATTTGTAAGCAGATGCGAGAACTTTGAAAACAGATTTGTGAGATGAAATATATTAATCCTTTCAGCGTGAATCATACAACCATAGAATAACTGAGTTGGAAGGGGCCTATAAGACCATCTAGTCCAACCCCCTGCTCAGTGCAGAAATCCAAATCAAAGTATATCTGACAGATGGTTGCCTAATTTTCTCTTGAATGCCTCAAATTTTGGAGGGTTGTTGTTTATTTAATAATTTTCAACTTTATATTTTTGCCCTACCCTGTTTTTCTTTTGCTAAAACAGGTTTCATCTTGGCTATTTCTTCACACTTCTTCTGCACCAGATCTACAATGTTTGCAGCTAAACTTCTTACTCATATGATGGTTGCTTGCCTGGGCACTCAGGTAGGAAAGTACAGAGTATTACTCAAGACTGCTAAAGCCCACATTTATCTGGGTCCTTATTCCTCTGCTCTTGGTCCCAGATATATTGAATCTAGTTTCATTCATCCTTATTTTTTCAAGTACATAAAAAACAATGGTTGGAATCCTGTTGCTCCACTCCGAATGCTACTCCATTCAATGAACTTTGATGTAAAGTTTCCTATTGAAAAGCTGTAGAGTAAAAGACACTTCCTCAGCTCCCAAAGGCTTCCCCAGATTGAAATGAATTCCTGGGGAGCCTCAGAATCTGAGGCAGAGGGTAATAAAAAAACCCTTTAAATTCAACATTGAAGTCTGTGTTTAATTATATCATCACCTTTTATGTACATGGAGTTGAACAACAGAATTCTGGCCACTATGTATGGTTAAAGCCATCATTTATTTGTAAGTTCACTCCATATTTAAAGCTCTACTCTTGTACTAAAAATATATTCTGGAGTTCAACGTTAGCATATAGCCCTCCCCCCCCAATACAATATGGTATAAACGTAGTGTGAAGCGTAAATGCTACAACAATATTCATTACCAGGAAAATATGAAATACTATTCAGGTGAATTTGTAGGTTTATTCTTATTTGTGCACGGCAGGAGAGGAAGCTGAACACGTTCCATATGCGTTGTCTCCGACGCATTTTTGATATCACCTGGCAGGACAAAGTTCCAAATTGAGTAGTCCTAGAACGAGCTGGAATTTTCAGCATGTATTCAATATTGAAACAGCGCCGTCTACGTTGGCTTGGGCACTTTGTGAGAATGGCTGATGGTCAAATTCCAAAAGATCTCCTGTATGGAGAATTAGTGCAGGGAAGCCGCCCCCGAGGGAGACCACAGCTGCGTTACAAGTACATCTGCAAGCGGGATCTGAAGGCCTTAGGAATGGACCTCAACAGATGGGAAACCTTGACATCTGAGCGTTCAGCCTGGAGGCAGGCGGTGCATCATGGCCTCTCCCAATTTGAAGAGACACTTGTACAGCAGACCGAGGCAAAGAGGCAGTCCCGAAACAAACAAAACGAGGGAGCTGGACAGGGGACAGATTGTATTTGTCTTCAATGTGGAAGAGATTGTCACTCTCGAATTGGCCTTCTCAGCCACACAAGACACTGTTCCAAGACCTCCATACAGAGCACGATACCATAGTCTCTCGAGACTGAAGGATGCCTACACACATTCTTATTAAATTATTGCACTATATTTAATATTAGCAGACTAGAAATGAGATAATCCTAGAAAGCAAGAATACTGACGTTGTGCTTCTTCTCTTACACTGCCATGAGTCACAAACAACCCTCAATTTTTAATTTAATTTTGTATTTATGCTGATTTGCAAAAGGATGTAAGCAGTAATTTTTCTTCTATGTTATTTTGCTAGACATTCCTACTCCACTAACTGAAGCGAGAAACAGAAGTTAGTGATAGGCTGTAATTGGAGTTGAAAGTGCATTAATTAATGCTACAGAGAAATGATAGAACATTTTTTCTTGTTTGTGAAATCAAACTTCAAAGGAATCCCATGCATAGGTCCTAAAGACCAATACCAAACAAAGCAAGCTAATTTGTGTAATCCTGGAAATAAGGAAAACTCTGACCATGATACGCAAATGATCCCATTAGTTAAGAAGTTTCCTTCTTGTATTAAGGATTATCTCTAATGTATGGTACATCTCATCTACGAATGTGGCAGCTTTTGAAGTAGAAACTATTTTGTCAAAGGAATAGGCTTAATGGAAGTGAAGGAAACATGTACAATGTAGATCTTAGAAATGACGAGTAAAGTAGGTGTCTGCATCTAGTTATGTTTTGGTCATGAGGATGCAATGATGTTAAATTTCAAAAGCAACAGTATGCACAACAGAAATAACTTTGCTACTGCAATGATTAATGTTTTCTAGTTACAGAAGAAGCAGCATAAAAGGAAGGTAACTGACAACTTTTTCAACCTTTTAATGAATAATGAGAATGGGTTGTTTCTCAATCAGTGTTAACAGGTGATTGAAATTAATTGCTTTTGAAAAGTAAATCTCTATATTCTGCTTCAGAGTGTTGTAAATAATTCATAAAACAGGATAGGTTTGCACAGTCTGATAAATAAACCAGATGTATGAATGTATCGAGCAGGAAACTCTCTGGGAATGAAAAATGGAAATGACAGCAGGAATAAGTAGATGGCTTAAATAAACGTGACCATTCCATATGTTCCCTTCAAGGAAGCCCTCACAAAGCTGAAAAGCTCCCTGCGTTTACTGCTTCTCTGCCTGTGGGTCATAACAGTGGTGAAAAGGGGCTGATAATAGAGACAGGAAGTATACAGGTGGTACCCGAGAGAATGAACTCAAGTTGTAATCAGTTGGATCCACTATTACTTACCTCGTTCTTTTAACCATTGGTGACGTTGATGAACCCTTGTCGTTTTGTTATATAATCAGATTAATATAAGGTATGAAATACTGCAAACTTTACTCCATTCTAGAATTCTTTGAACTTTACTGATGAAAAATATACCACCTGTGCTCTGAATGGGATCAGGCGGTTTATGACAAGTTATTTGATTTGTTCTCTGGATACTTAAGTCTTACCTTTTTCCAGGCAATGTTAATGAAACTTGTCTTAAATCTGATGTACCCTCTTTCCCTGAAAATAAGACCTAACCTGAAATTAAGCCCTAGTATGATTTTTCAGGATGCTCATAATATAAGCCCTACCCGAAAAATAAGCCCCAAGTGAAACCTGCCCTCCACCATTTTGCAACAACCAGAAGAAGATGACATGACTGTATTTGAATAAATGTAGATTGTTGTACCTGAAAAAAACAGGCGGTGCATCATGGCCTCTCCCAATTTGAAGAGACACTTGTACAGCAGACCGAGGCAAAGAGGCAGTCCCGAAACAAACAAAACGAGGGAGCTGGACAGGGGACAGATTGTATTTGTCTTCAATGTGGAAGAGATTGTCACTCTCGAATTGGCCTTCTCAGCCACACAAGACACTGTTCCAAGACCTCCATACAGAGCACGATACCATAGTCTCTCGAGACTGAAGGATGCCTACACACATTCTTATTAAATTATTGCACTATATTTAATATTAGCAGACTAGAAATGAGATAATCCTAGAAAGCAAGAATACTGACGTTGTGCTTCTTCTCTTACACTGCCATGAGTCACAAACAACCCTCAATTTTTAATTTAATTTTGTATTTATGCTGATTTGCAAAAGGATGTAAGCAGTAATTTTTCTTCTATGTTATTTTGCTAGACATTCCTACTCCACTAACTGAAGCGAGAAACAGAAGTTAGTGATAGGCTGTAATTGGAGTTGAAAGTGCATTAATTAATGCTACAGAGAAATGATAGAACATTTTTTCTTGTTTGTGAAATCAAACTTCAAAGGAATCCCATGCATAGGTCCTAAAGACCAATACCAAACAAAGCAAGCTAATTTGTGTAATCCTGGAAATAAGGAAAACTCTGACCATGATACGCAAATGATCCCATTAGTTAAGAAGTTTCCTTCTTGTATTAAGGATTATCTCTAATGTATGGTACATCTCATCTACGAATGTGGCAGCTTTTGAAGTAGAAACTATTTTGTCAAAGGAATAGGCTTAATGGAAGTGAAGGAAACATGTACAATGTAGATCTTAGAAATGACGAGTAAAGTAGGTGTCTGCATCTAGTTATGTTTTGGTCATGAGGATGCAATGATGTTAAATTTCAAAAGCAACAGTATGCACAACAGAAATAACTTTGCTACTGCAATGATTAATGTTTTCTAGTTACAGAAGAAGCAGCATAAAAGGAAGGTAACTGACAACTTTTTCAACATTTTAATGAATAATGAGAACAGGTTGTTTCTCAATCAGTGTTAACAGGTGATTGAAATTAATTGCTTTTGAAAAGTAAATCTCTATATTCTGCTTCAGAGTGTTGTAAATAATTCATAAAACAGGATAGGTTTGCAAAGTCTGATAAATAAGCCAGATGTATGAATGTATGGAGCAGGAAACTCTCTGGGAATGAAAAATGGAAATGACAGCAGGAATAAGTAGATGGCTTAAATAAACGTGACCATTCCATATGTTCCCTTCAAGGAAGCCCTCACAAAGCTGAAAAGCTCCCTGCGTTTACTGCTTCTCTGCCTGTGGGTCATAACAGTGGTGAAAAGGGGCTGATAATAGAGACAGGAAGTATACAGGTGGTACCCGAGAGAATGAACTCAAGTTGTAATCAGTTGGATCCACTATTACTTACCTCGTTCTTTTAACCATTGGTGACGTTGATGAACCCTTGTCGTTTTGTTATATAATCAGATTAATATAAGGTATGAAATACTGCAAACTTTACTCCATTCTAGAATTCTTTGAGGTTTACTGGTGAAAAATATACCACCTGTGCTCTGAATGGGATCAGGCTGTTTATGACAAGTTATTTGATTTGTTCTCTGGATACTTAAGTCTTACCTTCTTCCAGGCAATGTTAATGAAACTTGTCTTAAATCTGATGTACCCTGTTTCCCTGAAAATAAGACCTAACCTGAAATTAAGCCCTAGTATGATTTTTCAGGATGCTCATAATATAAGCCCTACCCGAAAAATAAGCCCCAAGTGAAACCTGCCCTCCACCATTTTGCAACAACCAGAAGAAGATGACATGACTGTATTTGAATAAATGTAGATTGTTGTACCTGAAAAAAAATAAAACATCTCCTGAAAATAAGCCCTAATGTGTTTTTGGAGCAAAAAGTAATATAATACCCTGTCTTATTTTGGGGGAAACATGGTAGCTGAAACAGATTAACAGAAATTGATACTGCCTGCATCCATGACCCACTGCCTTGCCCATTCTGTGTCTGCATGCACAGAGTGTCACAAAATGTGCACATAAATTCAAAGTGTGGCATTGCAAAGAATATGCGCATGTTTGACTTTCACTAGGCATGTTGTCCCATTGAAAGTAGGAGCC